CTTCTCTTAAGACCCCCGGCTTCTAACACTCTCATGCTGGAAATTATGTTGTCAATATACACATTTTAGAGGGGCACAGTCCATAGAAGCAGAGTGACTGGAGCTCAGGCCCACTGGGGATGAAGATCTGGGTCACACCAATGGGAAGTCCCTGAGACTGGCAGAAGTGGTAGCTGATGGCTGTGTCTTAGCAGGAGTCTCAGACCATTGTCTGTTGCTGTCACACAGCACCTGATACTGGGGAATTTATAGAAAACAGAAATTTATGGAGTTCCCAGTTACAGGAGCTGGGAAGCCTAAAGGGCATGACATAAACCACCCATGAGGGCTTTCTTGCTGCAGCATCACATGGTGGGGGCATCGCAAAGGCACCTGCCCGAGTGCCTTCCTCTTCTTGTAAAAGTACTCATGCCTTTGTGGGGAACACCCCATGGACTCCTGTAGTCCCATCACCTCCAAACACCATCAGCAAAGCAAATTGAGGGTCATGTGTTCACGAGCAAAGTCAAACACAGCCCCCTGGGTGACGGAGAAAGAGAAAAGAGTATCCACGTTGGTCCCTAGTCTCATTGCAGCTGTGGGTGCTGAAGTTCGTTCTAGTCCTCCTTCTCTAAGTTGACCTTCAGGAGAGGCTGATTGACTGGGCAGGAGAGGCCCCATGAAGTGGCCTGGAGTGATGCCCAGGGGATGTACAGAGATGAGTCACTCAGACGCTCTTCAAGGACGGACTTGCACCTGAGTTGTGACAGTGCAGTCAGTTACGCAGTTGCTAGCTGCCAGCTCTGCAGGGAGGCTCCAGCTGCAGAGGCCACACCTTTCTGCGACAGTCACCATCTGGTGACCCAACAAGATGGGAGCACTTCTGCCCAGTGTGGTACAACCCAAGGGCCAACCTCTGCCCAGAGCTTCCCTTCGTGCTGGCTGAGGTTTTGTTGGGGCTGTGCCATGGTTAGTTTCTCTCTGTCTGTTTTGCTCTCTTCTCTCTACTTTCCAAAAACTACCTGGCACCATGCTAGGCCTGGTACAATGTTTAACACAGGGCTATTTCAGATGTTCAGAGAAAGATAGGAACAAGAGGCATTGCTTTTGTGCAAAAAAAAAAAAAAAGTAAAACCCATACACGTATTTTTTCATTAACATTTTGAAGACCCCTGCCTGGTGTGTGTGTGTGTGTGTGTGTGTGTGTGTGGCATTTGTTGTTGTTTTGAAAAGCAGTTCCTTCACAACAGATAATTTCCCAAGCTGACACAGCTTGATGCTTCTCTGCTCAACAGAGAGAGCAAGAGGAGAGAAAGACGTCTGATGGTTCTGTTTTCAGGGCCCACTGTTGACAGCAGTCGTGCTAAAGCCAAACACAGTACAAACTGGGAGCACAGTGCATTCTGTCTTGTGTGTATTAAGTCATTTGTTTCACCCAATGAGGAAACTCTAGGTTCTAGACCCATTTTCACTGCAAAGGCACTGAAGCTTACAGAAGAGGCCCATGAACAGCTCTCAGGCCCCGGAGATGGAAAGCAGCAGAGTGGGATGTTGAGCCTGGTCCACTCAGGAGCAGTACCCGTGCTCAGCCCAGCGCAGGCTACTACATCTTGGCTGAACTTCTTTTTAAATGTTTATCTTTATTTGAGACGGGGGAGGAGAGAGAGAGAGAGAGAAAGTGATCTTCCATCCACTGGTTCATTTTCCAAATGGCCGCAACTGCCAAAGCTGAGTTGTTTCGATGCCAGGAACCAGGAGGCTTGTCTTGTGTCTCCCATATGGGTGCACGGTCCCAAGGACCTGGGTCATCTTCCTCTACTTTCCCAGGCCATAAGCAGAGAGCTGGATCAGAACTGGAGCAGCTGGGACTCAAACCAGCACCCATGGCAGACAGAGGTTTAACTTACGTTGCCATGGCACTGGCCCCATGGTTGGACTATCACAAAGAGCTCATGGCAGATGAACAATCTGGTTTCTCATCACCCACGTATCTGTGACACTGTTCCAGAATGAATTTTTCTGAATGGCAAAAAGAAAGAGGCTTAAAAAAAAATCACCTGCCTGTGGATGAGTGAACACTCCGTAGAAGCTCTGTAGAGTCCAACAGCCCTGTGTCCCATGGGTCCAGGAGCCAATGTCCGGAGGGATAGCAGGAATGAGATGTTTGATGACATCAGATGTCTTGCAAGTTCCAAGTATTTGCAAATAATGCACTCAGCTTTTTCAACATGTCTTTATTTGCTTAAATTAACAAAATATAGGTAACATGTTATTCTCAGGAAATTACCATTTCATGGAAGCAGAAAGCAATATTCACAACTTGGGTTGCTATACACTTGGCATTTTAGTTTTCAAATAGCAAGCCACAATTTTGTACAAGATCAACATTTGGCATCCTGTTGTCCAAATATGCAAAGGATTTTTAAATGTTAGCTCTGTTACATTTTGTTCCAGCAAAGCAGACACGGATCATAATTCAAAACACAATGCTAATATTTTATTAAATGCCTTCAGGGCTTAATAAATACAGAATGCACATTGAGCTTTCTCATGCAACTACTCACATACAAACATGCCAGTTACTTTTGTGAGTTTTGGAAAGGTCAGCTTCAGTCTCATGGCCGACGGGGAGGCCGATTTTTCAAAAAAAGGGCATGAAAGGGGAATTGAAAGGCAACAAGAGGGCGGCAAGCATAGGCCTGAATGAAAAGGATAACAGAAAAAAAAATCTGCCACTTGGCTGGTTTGTTGATCTGTTCAAAGCAGCAGTGGTCAGAAGTCTGGAAAGTATTTGGAAGTGACCTATTTTCAGAGTGTCACCATGTAGTCAATGCCAGGCTGGCCTGCCCTTCAAGTGCCAATCCCTTTGGATGGCCTCAGAGGACTCTTCTTCAAGCCTGCCCCCGGGGAGTCATCTCGTGGGGTTAGGTGGTCCAATTGTTTCCTTTGTTTTACGTTTAAGTCCTTGTTCCTGATCACCCAAAACTGGGATAGTTTCCAGAACTGAGATGAGATTTTGGGACAATGAGTGCAAACCAGGAATGCTGCCAACAGAACAAGATGGGGATCCCTCGACAACAAGCACACCCAGTCAGTCTTGATTTTCAAGTGATCACCGTTGCATCAGCCATCAGTTAACACATAACCATATCTCTTCTACTCAAATCAGAACCTAATACATAGACCTCAGAACATTGCACTGCCTAATACCTGTATTGCTCTTGCCAGATTTTGCTTTGCTCTTTCAGTAAAAATCTACTGCAATGACCTAAGACAGAGCTGGGGCCCCCTGAGTGGACACAGGGGCTGGGCATCTGTCCCCACCAGCAGCTCTATGGGAGCTCTCAGGGCTGCTGGTCCCAAGCAGCACAACTCGCAGCCCACATTCCAGATGGTACACTCACTTTCCCAGCATTCCTTGCTTGCTCACCCATCCCCACAGATTGGGTTTGGTTGGAAAGAGCTAGAAGTCAGCTCTCTAGATTTTCCAGTTCGACATATCCACAACAAGTCGGAAGAGTGCCGCACAAGTGGTCAGGTGCAGCACACAGTAGGTCCTCAACATGCAACATTTAAATGAAGAAAGAAGTAGCAGGTCCCTAAGAGCTGGCAGTCTCACAGATCACCCTGCCAGCTTCCTGGGCGATACCACTGGGTGCCCCAACAGGGCTATGTTCCACAGTGAAGGGACTCTGAGAAGTGACAAAGCCATGAGACAGGGCCATAAAGAGTGAACCGATGGCTCCAGGTTCTTGTATCAAAGGGTTTGTGATTTTAAAAAGCTTGCAAAGTAGTGACTAGCAAGGGAACTGAACCTTGGAGGACTTGGAAGAGGTTCTTGGCCAAGCTGTGCTTGTCACTGCAGAATGACAAGCTTGCTTCACTGCCTTTTTTTAAAGCAAGTGCTCTGGCCTCTGGACCTGGGTGGTTGTAGGAAGCCTGGCAGCTCCAGTGCTTTTTAAGGGGATATGAATGGGATTGAGATGGGAACTGAGGGAAGGTGCTTAGGGAAGGACAGGAGATGCAGGTGACAATAATGGCATCCCTTCACTCCAAGCATACGTGTGAGTGCTGGAAGTGAGTGAAGCTGGTTGGGGTAGAACAAGGTAGCCTCCAGGAAACTGGAGAAGGACCAGTTCCTCTGAAGAGTCTGGGAAACTGCAGAAGGGAGAAAGCCAGGGACTAAGAGGTACCTAATCTACAAGTCAGAGCTGGAACTCCCCACCAAGAGGCACTTCCCCCCAACACTGACATAGTGCTTCCCAGGGTCGTCACCAAAAGTCAGCCATCCTTAGCCAGGCCTACACTATCCCTCCTCCCCCATCATTGTCAGCCTCATTCACGGAACCAGGGCCATGCACCAGTGCTGGCCACCCAATGTGACCAGCAACCATGAATCACACAGGCATTACTTCCTACAAAACACAATGCCTGCTGGACCGGGGCTGTGTGTGTCCCCCCCTTGCAGGCTCCCACGTGGCAGGTGAGAAACCTTCAGGTGGCGATGGGTTCGTCTGCTCCGGGAAGAGGTGTGGTGATGCCTTCTCCTGGAGCTTTGCCTGGAAGCCTCGGTTCATGGTTAAATGTCCCAATCCCGGCCGCCATCCCGGCGGTGGCACAGCGGAACCAGCATGGACCAATGAGGATTCTGCAAACAGTGCAGGTTCCTCTCCACAGCGACTCAGTGGGACTCTCAGGGGCTAAGGCCTGGGTGTCTCTGCTCTGTCGACAGCCCTGAGAACACAGCATGAGCAGGTGTGGATAACTTTAAGACCCAAGAGAAGTCACAGCAGTTCCAAGGAGAGTTCTTCCACCCAGCAGCTCGGCTGGCTCAGCGGTGACAATTGTCCCTGCAGCTGCTGGGAAGAAAGCGGGGGGCGCAATGTGGGGGTTGTGGGGCAGCAGGAGGAAGGAGAACCTGGCTCTTGTAGGAAGAGCCGAGACCCCTGTGCCTTGCAGCTTCCCCTAAAAATGCTCCAACTGCCCAGTCTCTGACCCAGGCAGCTGAAGCCAAATGAGACAGACCAGGCAGGGGTGTAAATATTGCCCACGTCCATGTTGGAGAAAGGATGCAACTTCTGCGGAGCTGGCTCCACGCGCACCTGCAGCCACTAGCTGAGAACATCTTGCATAGCTCACCCTCCTGTCTTACCTCTGGCATTTCTGATAATATCATAAAGGCGATTTTGAAATATACAGCTACTACTCTTGACTGCCTGGGAAAAAAAAATCTAATGTTCACAAATCCAACTACAGTTATTGCTAAGGTAGCACATTAAGCACCATGGTCCCGTGACTAGAAACTGTCCACGTACTGCGTGTTAGTTAGGGTCATGGGATTTTGGAAAGCACCCTGGATGGGGGAAGGCGGGGGGATCCCTAGCAATGCACAGTTTGTTATAGTGCGGTGCCTACCCAAACCTCGGGGAGGGTGCCTGCACAATTAGTAGGGTCCCAGCTCCCCAGTGCATTGTTAAAGTCGTCCACTTAGATCCCTAAAAGCACTGTTTGTTTTTCTATCTTCCTCTCCAGTAGTTCTTTCAAGCTCTCATCTCGGTGCTTGAAGTACAAGTACTCAGAGAAAGAGGAGCCACGCTGGGGGCTGGGGAACGCACACAGGCGGAGACTGTGTGCCGGGTGCTGAGCCCCGGGCAGCACCTTGCTGTTGGCCTCTGCTTCCTTCTGGGGCTCGTCCGCCGCGTCTGCCTCGTCCACCTCCCCTGGAACCTCCGGGGCCAGCTCAGCCTCTGCCTGCGGATCGTGGGTGGCGCTGCGTGCCGGGCTCGGGGGTTCCAGGCTTGGGCTGGGAGACTCCACCTCGTAGCCCGGGTCATTGTCTTCGTCCTCGTGGCAGGGGCTGACCCGCGCGCTGTCCCGGTCCGCTTGGAAGGTGAGATCCTTGGCTTCGCGCTTCTGAGAGAGGTCGAAGGGCTCTTCCTGCTCCAGACCCCGCAGGACGCCTGCTGTCTGCGCCAGGGCGATCCGCCCCCTTCCCAAACCTGCCAGAGCAGATAGAGGCAGAAGTGAGGCGTGAGATGGAGCAGGGTCAAGCCGCTGCAAGCAATGCCCGCATCCCGCATGGGCACCACTTACTATGCAACTCCCTGCTGAGGTGCCTGGGCAAAGCAGCAGGGATTGAGCCAAGTGCTTGGTCCCTGTCCCATTTAGGGAGCAAACCAGTTCGTGGAAGATCTCTCCCCATCTGTTCCCCCTTTCCTCTATAACTTTGCTTTACTAAAATAAAATAAAATAAATCTTAAAAAAAAAAACCCACCCAACAACATAATTCCCAGTAAGATGTGGGCATGTGGGGCTTGTCACTGAGAGCATCCATATGGCTTTGAGATGAACTTGGCAACATGGAACAGAAGCTTCAGGCCTAAGGTTTGACTCAGCAAGGATGCTACCGAAAATGCGAACCTGGAACACAAGTAGACAGGAGTACACCATCCCTGCAAGTGTGCTCAGTGAGACTGTGTGATAGTGAGACTGAAAGCGATTTTTGTGTCTGGTTAAATAAACAATGGTACATCCACCCTGTGAACTATGGGTGGCTGATGTGGAATTCTAGGGACCATACGTTAAAAAGGCATTCTCTACATACTATAGGTTTTAAAAATGTATTTGTGATGCAATCCAGTTCTTTCTACTCATTTCCTCAAAATGTCGAGAACGTATGCCAAACCTCAGAACTGATGCGTTATGAAGCAGTTTGCATATTTTCTTTTCACTTTTCATGTATTTCGAATTTTTTCCCCCACAGGAGCATATTTTACAATAAAAGCAAATAGAGCGATAATCAAGGTGTTTTCATGTTGGAAAAAAACAGATTTCATACAGGGCTGAGAAGACCATCCTATGACCTTGACCCTGCGTCCCCCAAAGAGGACGTCCCGTGTCCTGTCTTGGGGGCTCAGACACAGGCCCCTCTAATGTGGCACCAACACTATAACTGCTGCAAGCTGATGAGGCAAGTTCAAGGGTTCCAAGCGGCCTTGCGACGTGTGAATGATGTCTGTGTTTCTGGGCTCAGCGTTGTTAGGCGCCTTTTCGGGCCTGAGTACCACAGGGAAGGGCAAAGCCATGGTGACCAGGTCAGGCTTTGTTTTTGTTTATGTTTTAATACTTTCTCTCCCCCTCCCCACCCCAATTTAGTTTCTTTTATTGGAAAGGAACAGATAGCAAGATCCTCCATCTACCAGTTCATTCCCTAAATACCCACAATAGCCTGGAATTTAATCTGGGTCTACCAGAAGGGTGGCAGAAATGGAAGTGTTTGATTCACCACCTGCTGGCTCCCAGCGTGTGCATCATCATGAGGCAGGTTGGAAGCAGTACCACATTTCTAATATGGAATGGGGTACCCAGCAGTGATCCTAACTGCTGCACCCGAGCCCACCCCCAGGTCAGGTTTTTACATGGAAGACTAACTGCCTTGTATACTCCCTACCCCAACAATCAAACTTTAGCTTCTGGAAGAATTCAGCCCATGGGATGCCGAGTTAAGTCACAGCCTGCAACATTGCCATCCCACATGGGTGCTGGTTTGAATCCCTGCTCTTCCTCTTCTGATTCAGCTCCCTGCTAATATATCTAGGAAGATAGAGAACGGTCCAAGTCCTTGGGATTCTGAACTCATGTGGGGGACCCAGGATAAGCTTCTGGCTCCTGGCTTTGACCTAGCTCATCCCAAATCATTGTAGGTATTTGGGGAGTGAACCAGTGGGTGGAAGATCTCTTTCTGTCGCTTCTCTATCTCTCTTGTTCTATGTCTCCCTCTCTCTAACTCTGCCTTGCAAACAAGCAAACAAACAAAATCCTGGCTGTATTCAGGCCATTATAGATTCAGCAGCTAATTCAGGGGAAAAAAAATTGTCAAGGCAAAAAAAAAAAAATCTCTTAAAAAAAGAAACAGATTATTTTAAGGTTTTGCCCAAACTCCAGCTGGATTTCATCACTTAGAAGTTACCATAATTCAGGGAGCTCCATGAGCTGTGCACCTGTCTTTCCAACTACCTCTCAGTGTGGGCAGGCATGAAGAACCCTAAACTTTCACGTAGGGTAGGAGCCCAGACTCTATCCACAAATTCTGAAGTCAGAATCTCACTTGATCTTGAAGAGTTTATAAGCACTTATAGGCCTTGGTCCTTTTATATGAACTGAGGATAGCATAATCTCTGGCGTGCATTTTAGGGGTGAGCAATAACATCCCTGACACGTCTGACTTCGGGCTTCAGTCCTACCAGTGATCCGACGTCAGTTACTGTGATTTTGCAAATGGTGTGGGAGACTGTCCTCTCTCCCTTCCACCTGGGCCTCATTCCTTTTGTCTCAGACATTCACACAGCTCACTGTGTTGGCCAGATGTGTATGTAGTTGCCTGTTCATGGAAAGGTTGCCTGAGAAGATGACTAAGGGGCAGTCCCAATGAATTTAGCACACCCAGAGCGTACACTCCTCACCACTAAGGGCTCTGGGGCTGCAGGGAACCAAGCAGGCCAGAGCTTTGCATTAGTTCTGTTAGAACTCAGAGCCAGGGATGTATTCTGCAGAGAGATTCCTCAGCTCATCTCAAGTTAAAAAAAAATAAATAAAAGGCCCAGCGTGGGGCAGAAAAAGCCTCCACTTCTATTGCTAACATAGTTTGCACATCTGTTGAGTATTCTTAAAGGTGAGAAAAATCACCAACCTAGTGAAGTGGATGTAATGAAGGCTGTATACTCAGAAAGGTCGAGTCCAGGTCTGGACTCCGCCACTCTTTATTTGAGTGGCTTGGGACATAAGAACCTCTTGGAGTCCTTCTTTGTGTAAACTACAGATAATAGAAATTCCTTTCGCACCTAATGCAGTGCCCAGAGCACAGAAACCAAACACAGGGCGGACTCGCAATGTCATGGCATTCCACTTGACTCCAGAATTCCTTCACTTGTGTCCCTCAGAGAGCAGCATTATGAACTTTGAGTGGCATAAGCTGCTCCTGCTGCCCTCTTGAGATCTTGAACATTGCACTTTCTTCCTGGACAAGAACAGTCTGCTCAAGAAGAAGTCTTGCGGTCATACCTTGCACAACCCCCACATGGTGCCCTGTGGGCTCGTCAATGAGGAGCTTCCTGGAAGGGTGGTTACCTTGAGAGTGAAGGCCCCGTTCCATGACTCCGTGCTTGACCTTCATGTGGCGGGTCAGGTTCCCCTTCAAGGTGAACTTGCTTGGGCAATATAGGCACTTGAAGGGCTTGCTGTCCGAGTGCAGGTGCATGTGGCCCATCAGGTTGTGCATGCGGTTGAATTCCTTCCCACACAGCTGTCAGAGCCAGAGATGGAGAAAGCACAGGTTATTCACATCAGTACCCATGGAGGATGGATGTGCCATGGCCCCTAGGGGCTTCTCCTGTGTTTGCTGTTAGCATTTTAAATCTTTTCCCAGGCAACAGAACCCATGAAATCCAGAAGGGCAGAGATGGAGCAGGTAAAGATGTATGACCCTTGTGTTCAGGGATCTTTAAACTTAATGTCAAATCACAAAAGTTGTAAATCTCTTTTTGGACACAACCTTTGGGAAAAGAAAGCAACTGGTCATAGAAGCACTTGGTCGAACTGTGTTTCACCTTGACATTAGGGATACATTATGCACTTGATATTTATGGTACATTTGTAGTATGGGAGGCATTGTCCTGAGTCTGCCATCGAACGCCTTATCGGATCCTCACATTAATCCCAAGAGCTGGAGGCTGTTATCATTTTATAAATGGGCACACTGAGGACTTAAATCACTTGGATTTAGCTGCACACTACTGGATGCTGCAGCTGGGGGTAACAAATTCAAACCATTTCACACCACAAGCTATAGGGCCAACTACTGTGCCAGACGGTGCCCTACGTTAAGAAGCCCTGTTCATGGTACTAAGCAGTATGTTTCAGTATGTTTCTGATCTTCTGACATGCTAACTGGGGGATGGATTTCAAAGTTAAAAAGGAACAAAAAGACACCTCAGAGAGGCATGTGGCTGTGCCTAGAAGTAGGAACTGGTTGGGAATATCATCTCAGAGGGGCAAAAAGCAGATGTGTTGTCATCAGCATCTTTTTAATCATTTCTCCCTGTTTCCTTCAACGTTCAGCAGGTGTCCCCAATTCCTTTGCAGGGACGAGTCCATGTGGAGGCAGACACAGGGACAGCTGTTTTGGGGGTGCTTGAAAGCAAGGTTCCAAAGGTTGCATTACAGCAGGGGCTGGAGAGCTCCTCGGCTTCCTTGCTATGAGAAAGGTACAAATGGATTTCATGTCTGTGTTTGACCTGGCGCACTCAGGGAGGGGCATTCTCTCCCCCCCTCCTGCCCCCTTAGAGGTCATTGTGCTGATGCAAAGAATAGCAGCTTTGGTTATAGGACTTGGGGTACAGGCTCCTCCAAGGCTTGCAGCCATCTTCCTGTCCCACTGAGCTATAGCCTCAAGGCCAACGTTGAGGATTTTGGATTGAGTTGTTATTCATGAGGCCAGCATTTGCTTCAGGTGGCCATGGGAGGAGAGCACTAAAGTGGCCTTGGGAGTACGAGCAGACCTTGCAGATGGTGTCTCTAGGAGATGAGCCTGCAGGTCGGCTGGGTGGCAAGAGGAAGTAGCCTGCAATTACACATTGGCCACAGGCTGAGCGACAGATGGACAATGAACGGCTGGTTCTGTATTTTTGAGTGATTCATCTTTGGGGATTTTAAGTACTTTTTTCCACTTGGCTTCCTTCCTAGTAAAAATGAATTTGGTGTCTGGTTGTTCTGAGCTCAGCATTTAGAGTAACTATACCCCATATTCATTTGACAATGGTGACTGACTCAGATGAGAAAAGGCTGAGGGAGTTAGCCTAATTCCACCTTCCTCGGGGCAAGTGAAGTGTGAACTGGATGCCTCTTTTATCCTGCAAAGATAATGTATTCATTGCTAACTTATTCTGTGGTTCAGGTCTACACACATGTAAACATTCTGTTTCTTGCTTTACTCACTACAACATGGTTGGACAAACAGCTTTGAGTGTACCGATTCTACAGAATCTTCCCCATGGGTTATTTCTAGAAAGAGTGCACCTCACTTGGGGTGCTGGAAGGATCCTGGCTAATGGAGTCCATGCACATGTTGCAGATGCTGATTCGGGGCAGGACTGCTGACAGCGCTTGCCTCAGATCTGTTTGCACAAGCAGATCTCAGCATCTATCGCAGCTCTGCCTGCCCCTTGCCCGCTAGGACCCCAGCAGAACAGAACATATAGTGGTAAGCACCTGCTGAGTGGCAACAGAAGAACTAGGAGCAGGAAGCAAAGTCCCTGTAGGCATACCATGATGGAGGAGCCACAAAGGGGACTGCCCTAGGCCAGGCATGAGTGGGTTCTCAAGGTTCCACAGTGCAGACAGAGGTCATTGGATGGAAGGGTTGCATGGCTCGTGCACTCAGCTACCACACTGACAGCACCTCCTCTCTGGTTACGATGACGTATCGATAGCTGGACTAGTCAGAGAGAGCTCTGCAAGGGAAGTCTGGGCAGAGGGCCTTTGGTCTTCACTTGGCTGCATGGATAAAGTCTTCTCATCACATATTTGTAGATACTTCGCTCCATCTTACAGAATAGGCAACTGTGGTGACAATGACTAACTGCCTATTATTGCCCTACCTGCTGGAACTCGGGTCCATGTATGCCTGGCAAGTCACCTGGCCCAGGTCCCATCCATCATCTGCCACCACCACCTCCATACACAGAGGCATGTGCTCAAATCGTGTCCCAAAGGAGTCTCCGGTAGAAAGGCTTGCCTTCCGGTTCTTTGTAGCCAAGCTCTGTATTGAGCACGAGGGCTGCATCATATTCTACTGAATACCTAAGTGTCTGGCTAGGGGAATAGCAAACAAGCCATGAAAATATCATTCATTGTGCAAAATTCTATTTCCTTGGTGAGCCTTCCTCTTTCATTAATCAAACAAGAAAGCATTAGCTTACAAACGAAAACCCGTGGTGGCAGAAGGATGGGGCCATTAAATGGAGCTTGGAATCTGAAGCAGCTGGTTCCATCCCCATTCTGGTGGTAGACACCTGGCTTCCCCCACCAGCTTCCACAGAGCCCAGTCTCCCTATGCAGAATGCATGTCAGCATCATCGTTCTCAGAAGATCGCCTTTCATGACAACATACAGGGGTACAGGTAATTCCAAGCCTGTGGGAGCCAGAGCAAGTGCTCTCAGCCACACTGAAGAGCACTGAAGTGCCTGAAGAGGGGCCACAGCAAGCAGATGGGGGTCAGTTGATGGCAGCACCCCTGAGTGGAGTTTGAGATGCGTTCTCCCAAAAGCATGACTGCAGGAGGGGAGGAGTGTTAGACTGGAGGTAGAAGGTCGGTTGGGAACACCAGCTGTGCTCTAAGATGTTGAGAAGGCACCCATTGGAGTCAAGAGTTCCTTCATATCATGCCACACAGCTAGGTGCCCACTGAGGCAGGAAGTGCTGAATCATCTCCCACTACATCTGCAAAGACCAAATTGGGGTAGGATTGGTACAGGAAGACCCTGGGATGGTGAGGACACTGAATTTCCCTGGCAGGTGGTCACACCAATTGTGTTCCCGGTCTGTAATCTCAGTCTCTCTAAGGGACACCCTCGGAGTGTCTCCAAGGCTAGATCTATCTACTGCTAAGAGAGAGGCAAACCTCCGCATTGAATAAAAAAGAGCAGCAAGTATTTCCAACTGCCCTTGAGAAGGGTGTCATAGGACCTGTTAGGCTTTGAGATGGTAGAGAAGGAGACAAAACACAGAGAGACCAAGTTCAGACGCCATTTTCTGTTCCCTAAACCATCCTTCATAATGGCAGTTTCTCAGGAAGGCTGGTGTGGGAGGATCCAATGAGAGATTTTGTAGAAAAGGCTTGGCAAATAGTAAACACTTCACAAACCCGAGTTCTTATGTCTTCCATTATTCTGTGTGCAGTAGGTTCATTCTCATTCCTGGAACAGATGCCTGAAGATGAGACTGCTTGCTATCCTCCTAAATCAAATTGTTTGGATGGAGCATTCGAGAAAGAAGCCAATGAGGAATTGTCTGAGTAAATGCTTGCAGGGTTACCTGAGGCCCAACAGAATGGCAACCCTGCACTGCAGGTGGGAAGGGAAGCTCCATTCTAGCTTGCAGACCTGGAGAAGGTGCACAGCTGGCTTCCTGCACAGTTTGCCCTTGAAGCAGCTGCAGGCTGCTCTGTTGGGCCCCAGGCCTCCTGTTCTGGTTTCCCAACACCTTCTCATCCCTGGCACATGGCCTGAGGGCACCTCGGGCTCTTTCTGAGTTTGACAAACACTACCAGCCAGCCAGCAGCAGCAGCAGAATGAAGACAGCATTGGGTGAAGCCACGCAGCAGCAGCAGCAGCAGCCCCCGGTCTGGCCTCCAGTGGCCGATGGGAGCTTCAAAAGTGAGATGCCCTGGGAAGCCTGCGTTTTCCTCTCTTGCCAGGAAAGGTTAAAGAACTGCGCCCTGCAGCGCCAGAGGGCAGGCCGGCTCTGCTTGCCTTCCCTTGCATTCTCCCCTGCCCCCTTCCCTTCCCCTCTCATCATAAGAAGGGTGTTCCTTCCCTCCAAGCGAGAAAGAGGGAGGGAAGCAGAAAAGACTGTCAACTGTCCAAAAGGACCGTGAGAAAACAGGAAGCTCTGAAAAGTACAAGAGAAAGCAAGATGAAATCTATTTGCAGGCGGGCCCCTGGGGACAGGCGAAGCATTGTTCAGCAGGCAGCGTGCTCAGCTATATCCTTCCTTCTGCCCAGGGCTGCTTTGCTGCCAGAAGGCGCCTATCTGGTCACCGCCTTAACCCCCTCCATGCCAGCCCAGAAAGCCTGTCCCGCCACCCCGCCCCAGCTCCAGGACCCCTGCAAGGCTCCCCCATCTGGTCTCTGCCCTTTTGCAGTGTCAGGAGCTTGAGGGAGCAGAATGGGGGCAGGGGGCGGAGCCTGGGCTGGTCCCTCTGCCAACAACTATGCCCTTTGCTGCCCAGGAGGCTGCCGATGACCCCAATGATTCACAACTTAGGCAGCTCCCGGTTTCACCCATCTCCAAAGAGAGTTTGTCCCGGAAATTCTGGATGGCTGCTTTTCCTGGACAGGTTTCCCAAAGACGGCAGCTGGCTCTGGGCTGGGAGTGGCTGTGGCCCCTACCAGGAGAGCAGCCCTGCAGCCCTCTCTCGCATGCGCATTTGCACCCAGTCTGGGAAGCAGGTCTCTGGAACTCAGTGCAGGACTCTGGACAAACTCCAGCTGGCTCCGCATGGCGGAGTGTAGAAGCAGAGCCCCAAAGGCAGTCATTCATATATATATGTGCATGTGAGTGTGTGTAATATATATGTAAGAGAATGAAAGCTTTTCCTGCCCTCTAATTTCCCATCTTGCTGTTTCCAGCTAATCCCTAATCCTAGGGAGAGCGGGGCGCAGGGCCATGCTGCAACAGGAGGAAGGACTTAAGTGAAGCAGATTGCTTCACGACGAGACTCTCAAGCAATCAGAATCTGTTACTGAAACACTCTGCCTTGGTGGGAGTTTTTGGCTAAACAAGATATAGTGAGTTTTGGGGGTTGTGGCTGACTCTTCTTTCCAGGACTGTCATTCAGAGTAACTCTTCCCTGTTACCACGGTAAAGGTCAAGTTCGGTTGTGTGGGGGCTGTTCTCCACCATCGTCTTGCCAGGCAGCCAGGAGCCGCGTGTCTTGGATGACTGTGACCACGCAGCAGCCAGGATATGATTTCCATCCCTCTCCTAACAGCTACTCCCAAAGCGGGGATCCTATTCCCAAGATCCAGCGCAACAAGGAGGCAGAGCAGGGTCCATACGAGTGTCCTGAGGGTCCACACCCCAGGGGGCTCAGGAAGCAGTCAACAAACACAGGGGCTTTGTTCTGTACAATCTGTAGAGCCAGGCAGGCTCAGGAGGAATGGTGGCAGATGGCATAGAAAGACAGAGTGACACTTCACAGGGGGATGGGAACAGGGTTAGGAAGAACAGGGCATTGTGCTTCTGGAACCTTCCAAAAGACAAAAGCCTGAATCACCATGGCTGACACCTATTCCTGTCTCAGAAATGGCTGAGAATGGAGAAGGGCTGCCCAACCAAAAAAAAAAAAAAAAAAAAAAAACAACAATGTCCTAAATTTAGTGGCTGACTCTTTTTGTCTAAGAATATGTAATACTCACTAGGTGATGTGCTAATCCCAGTGTGGTCTCCTGAGAGTATGCACTCACCCAACAGGAAGAAGTAGCTTTCGCGACTGACCAGTCCAATACTGATGCCAGACCCATTCTCTCCTGTTAGTGTAACCCATGCATCATTCCATGATAGAATCTGGTGGTGTGGCTCAAGCTTTCAGGACCTGATTAACCCTTCAGCTGGAGTTTCTGAAGTGTATGTGGTGCCTCATCATGGTGGTGGAAGAGGAGGGGGCCACGTTCAAGAAGGTAGGCCTTAAACATCCTGTTAAGCTGGTACACAGCATCACAAGGCTCGCTGGCTCTGTGCTGGGCAAGCTTCTGAGTACTGGTCCCAGAGAAGATCCTCCTGGTGCAGGCGATCTTCCCTGCCTCGGAGGGCAAGAGGCAAAACTGATCCTGTGGTCCCAACTCCTATACTACCTGTGTTGGCTCCAGCACCTGACACATCCCTCCATTTCAGGGTCACTTTTTCTTAACTTGTTTATACTCTTGACATGCAGGACCCTGAAATGGATGAAGTTGGGGAGGAAGATAACTAGACCAAACAAGTGTGGACTTTTAAGGATCATGATTATGCTAATGCCCCCTTCCTAAGTAGATAACTCTATGGTTCATCTTTGGACCCTGGGCAGAGACCACGCTAAATGTGAAGCCCTTGGGGATTCGGAGCCAATGGGGGAGAAAATCAAAGAGGTGTCTCTAGAGAGAGGAGGGGTGATGTGTGGATTCCGTAAGTTCATGCCTCTAGGGTGGAGTCCTGGGTGTGCGGCACAGGACCCTGCTCAGAAGAGCCCTGACTTTAGCTTAAGGCTCTGATTTCTTTGCCTTGTACTGACCTTCAGACAAGAAACCTTGCATGGACACATCTCTACGTTGCACTGGATCCTAAACATGATGGAGTTCATCCTGCACGCCCCTTCCTCACCCCTCTAGCTTCACTGACTCTACATGAACATAAATTGACTTTCAAACCACTGGAAACTTGAAGAAAAGGAAGGGAAACAGAAGTGGGTGGCAGGAAAAGGGCTGTAGGGAGAAGCCTCCTTGTCCCTCCTCCAGACAATGCCCACGCAGGTCGAGGGAAGCTCTGGTGTGTGACCCCTCACCTCGGCCAGGAGGTGCCAGCACAGGAAAGAAGGCAGCTTCATGGGGGGTTCCTTTACGCTAGGCTGGACACGGGGAGCTCTGTGCAGCCCGTGTCTGAGCATGGCAATGCTCATGCTGACTCTATTCACGACCAGGATGGCACTTCCAGGACGTTCCTTGAATCTGGTGGCCAATTGGGAGCCAGAGGCCACCTCCCACCACCCATGTTGGAAGTGGAGAAAGGAAACACTAATGGGGCTGGATGGGGCTGGCCTGGGGACACTAGTGTCTGTCAGTGTCTCTTGAGTGTCTGAGTGACACAGTACTTCTGCTCTCAGAGAACGTGCGTTTTCCAAGTTGCTGAAATGAATATCCAACCCGGTCCATCCAATGCTGACTTCTAACAAAGATGCTGAAGGGTAAACACAGAGCCCCCGATATCCCCAAGCTCACTGGCAACCCTCAGTCTGATAGAGCACTACTGAGGTTCCCCAGGACCCAGTTATCTGTCCCGGAAGGTCGCCCCTCAAATGATTCCCTCAGTCCAAAAGTCAGGAGAGGGGTGTTCTAAAAGTTTCCTGACTCCTTTGTTCTACTCTGTGCCTTGGAGAGGAAGAAGGTGGTAGCTGGTATCCCTGTGGGCCATGGCATGTTTATGCCTTCTCAACCTCACTCCCCAGGTTTGTCTTCCACCCCTCCTGCCTGCCTGTACCCCAGGGCACTGGAGGTAGAAGCAAAAAGACCACCCCAGAGTCCATGGAAACCTCAGTGGGCTGGAAAGAGGGATGGAGTGGCAGGTGGTACTTGAAGCTGGCCATCAACCCACTCTGAGTCTCAGGAGCTCCACGAATGTGATGGAGTTGGAGTTCCCCGGGAAGCCTTGGCAGGCATTGGCAGAGCCCTTCCAGTGCCCCCTGCTTCCCTCCTCCCAGGACCCTCTGCCTACCTTGCACTTGAACGGCTTCACATCTGAGTGGACAATCATGTGTGCTTTGAGGGTCTGCTTCTGCACGAAGCTCTTGTAGCAGAGGTGGCACTGGTAGGCACGGATGTTGGTGTGTATCAGCACGTGTCTCTTCATGTTGGCCAGCAGCGTGAACTCCCGCCCGCAGATTCCACACTTGTGTTCCTTCACGCCCTGCAGGGAGGCAAGATCCCAAAGAGTGGTGGCTGGCCGGCCATGCAGCCTTGGGGCTACCACACCTCGCAGTCATCTCCCTGTCAGGTGAGCCCATGTGGAGCTGATGTAGAAGGGACTGCCAAAGGAAGTAGCTCTCATGTTGTGGGATCACTATTTCCTTTTTAATTTAAAGTTAGAGTTACAGAGAGAAGGAGAGATGGAGAGAGAGAGAGAGAGAGAGAGAGAGAGAGAGAGAGAGAGAGAATCTTCCTTCCTTGGTTCACTTCCCAAATGGCTGCAATAGCCAATGCCAGGAGATGAGAGCTTCATCTGGTCTCCCACGTGGGTAGCAGGGGCCCACACATCCAGGCCATTTTTTGATGCATTTCCCAGGCCATTGGCAAGAGATTTGGAATGGAAGTAGAGCAGCTGGAACTAGAACCAGTCCCTACACGAGATGCCTGTGATCTATGGCTTTACCCACTATGCCACGATGCCAGTCCCTGAAAACTATTGTCATAAAGAGTGCTGATTTCATAATCATTCATTTCTGCTGCCAGCCATCAACTATCCGGACTGCAGCAGAAAAAGGCAGCTCTCACTGTTTTGTTCCTGCTGCTGTTGGGGTTAATTCAACAGTACCAGTTTTGGGGGATTAATAGGATTTGGATAAGAGCATTCTGGAATGATAGGCGAAATGAGTCTATAATCCAGCTTTCATGGTCATGAAAAAAAAATTAAGTCTTCTAAGCTGATGTTATCGTTTCCCATCTGAGAGCCAGCATCCTCCTGATTTCTCCTTAGTGGACTTGAAAATCCCCAGAAGGAAAACTCACACTGCACTTCAATCAATTCCCACTTGGTAATCACCCTCTCCACTTAGTCTGTAAGGTTCTCTCAGGTCAAAATGAGCTGTGTGGGATAGGGAGCTGGAGCCAAATGCTTTGTGCACAGGAATACAGGAATGTTGCAGGGATGGATTTATGAATGAGCAAACAGAGCAAGAGATTGCTCCAGCATTCTTGCTCGTGATGGAGAAATGCTTGCACACTGCAGCTACTGTGACTCTTCCGGCTTGGGTAGAACAAGAGCTCATTGAGCCTAGCCATCATTGCTTCCATGAAAGTCTCTTTGCAAGAGGCCTTGTCCCAGAGCAACTTAGGGGAAGGAAAAGTTGGAGAACCATGGCACTGAAGTGAAGGTTATTAGAAGACTAGAACAAGTCACCTAGTTAACATGGCAAAATCCATCTGGCCTGGGCTCCTTGGTGGCCTGTGGAGGAAAGGATTCCAAATTCCAAATTCAGTTCCTTCTCTTTCACTCTCTCCCTCTCTTTTTCTCTCTCCCCAACCTCCCTCTCTGTCTCAGCAGAAAAGTGTTTCCATTTGCTGGTTCAGTCCTCACGTGTCTGGAACTAAGTTGAGTTAAAGCCAGTGAGAAGGGGCCTCAATCTGGTTCTTCCTCTTGGTGCTAGGAACCCAACTACTTGAGCCATTATTGCCTGCAGCTTTTCAGGGTCTACATTAGCAAGAAGCTATAAATGGGGGGCCAAAACCAGTGGCTCAAATCTACCCACTCCAATACAGGTTACAATGTACCAACCAGCAACATAAGTGGTAAGCCAGACTCATGTCCTTCAAGCTCAATTCTCTCTCTCTCTCTCTCTCTCTCTCTCTCTCTCTCTCTTTCTGGATTTATTTCTTGTCCAAATAGCCAGAACATCTAAGGCCGTGTTAAGCTGATGCCAGGAGATCAGGAGACAGGAATGCCATCTTGGTCTCCTGCATGGGTGGCAAGCACTTGGGATGTCTTCTAAGGCATTCCCAGGCACACGAGCAGGAAGCTGGATTAGAAGCAGGGCTGCTAGTGCTCTAACTACTGCACCACAGTGCTGGCCACCTCAAGCTCAGTTCTGGACCACCCACACTTTCAGTTCTTTAATTTGGAGCACACCAAGAAAGTACCGCTCCTCATTTACTGGCTGCTAAACTTTTGATAACTCCAGCGTCCTTTCCTAGTGAAAATTTCTCTTCTTAAGATGAAGGGCTGGGTGGTGCAAACTCTGGGATTCTTTCCAGCTCAAAGTCTCTAGTCTAGAGGGCTGCAGGCAAGGATGGATTTATACTAATAAACAGATCACCGACTCAGCTTCCTTTACAAATTAGAGTACTCTCCTTGAGAAGATGAATTTTTAAAATGTGTTGCATATTAAAGCAGCGAGTGAGAAATGATGAAATCAGTGAATGAGAAGTAGTTTCTTCATGAATTTCAAAATGTACTTGAGTATCTTTCCTCACTCAAGATTTTTTGGGGGGCTTAGTTGTTCTGGGATCAAGGAGAAAACTCAACCTTCCAATGTTTTTGTCTAAAGGGAATCTTTGTGTCAAGCGAGTCACACACAGGCTGACCCAGTAGGGAAAACACTAGGAGCTTGGATGCTATTTGGGGCAACAAAGGAAGGTACTGGGGTCTGGTAAGATGAGCAACACAGTGTGAGCGCTTAGGCCGAGGGTGGGGTAGAGGATGACAAGGCACAAGCCGGCCTTTGCCAGTGGAGTGTTGGAGACTCAGGTGCTGGCGTCAGACCCCTGAGAAATCTCCACGGGCCTCGGTGTCTTCGTCCACTAATGGTGAGTGGCTCTTAGGGTTTGCTGAGAGTCAGTGAGCATCGAAAACACCCACCACTCCCTCAACGAACATGCCCACTGCTCACTTCACATGAATTTTTTTTTTTTAAATCCGGGTTATCAGTCCCATTTTGGCTTCTTTTTCTAGAACCTTCCAGAGTCTGCATGTTGTAAGATGTAGCTTGTGGGTCTGGTGTGATGAGTCAGTGGCTAAATCTCTGCCTTGCAGGCAACGGGATCCTGTATAAGCGCCAGTTTGTGTCCCAGCTGCTCCACCGCCCTTGCTTGTGGCCTGGGAAAGCAGTAGAGGATGGCCCAATTCCTTGGGACCCTGCACCCACATGGGAGGCCTGGAAGAAGTTCCTGGCTCCTTGCTTCAAACCAGCTCCAGAAGATCTTCCTCTCTGTCTCTCCTCCTCTCTGTATATCTGACTTCCCAACAAAAATAAATAGCTCTTTAAAATCTTTAAAAGAAAGATAAGATGAACCTTGTATTGCTTTTTCTTCTCTGCAGGAGCCTTTGGATCAGCAATAGGCTCCTGTGTGGCTGAGGTTCAGTCTAGTACCCTTGCTGGTGGTTCCTGCATGCTCCCTGATGGCATCAACAGGTGCCTTTGGTAGAGCAGGAGCTGTTTATGTTGAGCCCACAAAGCAGCCACCCACTTCATCTCTAAGGCAGAGCTAGAAAACGCCCCATGTTTTGTCCTAACTTAACAAATGAAACCTGCTACGGCAGAGCAGAAACATTATCTTGGCCAGGAAAAGTCCTCTGCTGACCTTTCAGAATTAAAGAATGTTTTAGAAACCCTGGCTTGCAAGAAAGGCCTTCCTGCCAAGACAACCACTTGAGGCCAAGGATATGAGACTAACCAGTCAGTGGGGGCAAAACTTCCCCCTTGGAAGCTCACAGTAAACTCCAGGCAGCTTAGCTGGGGTAAGATGTCAAGGATAAACTTCGAGGAACCTGGTTTTAACCACGGGGCAATGACTTCAGAGCTTTGGCTACAAGCTATGATGAATTTAGATGCTTGGGGCATGAGTCGAGGGCAGAGCAAACCAAGCCAAACGCTTGCTGCTTTCATATGCTTCTTGTAACACAGACCACCGGACAGGAGCCCAGTTAGGCAGGAACTCGACACCCTGGAAGCACAGGTCCCTCCTGGACCTGGCCAAGCTCTACTCCTGCACAGCTGCCTGCAGAAAGACCCCCTGTTGAAGGAGAACACAACTGCAAGGTGCCCACTGTTCCAGCACCAAGGGCTTAAGAGAATTCTCTAGAAGACTCCCAAGGGTATAATCCAGGCACAAAAGTGAGCCGAGATCCAATGCATGCTCCTGGATGAAGCTTCTGGAAAGAACATTCTAGGGATTCTTGGGGACTAGGAAGCAACAGCACAGGCAGCTGTTTCCTTCATCCTTCCTCAGGTCTTCTCGGAATGTCTGCATGCTTGTTTTGTTCCAGGCTGTCCTGGACTCCATGTCAAGCTGGGGAAAGGCTCTGTGTGACAGTCTAGCCTCCTCTTGTTTGCTTCTACTTACAGGTGAGGAAGTTTCTCAGGGCTCAGGTTATGCAGCCTGGCAGCAACAGAAACGACACCTGAGGGCCCTGGGGCCCAGAGCCCTTCTGCTGTTCTCTGTAGACGTTCCATTAGCTCCGCCCACCAAAGCCACGCCCTCCAGTGACCCCGCCCAGGCTGTGGGGAACCACGCCCTCGCTCAAGGTCCCGCCCCCGGCAGCCACGCCCCACCCACAGGGGCCACACTCTCACCCAAGTCCCAGCCTTCAAGAGCCACGCCCACAGGGGACCACACCCTTGCTCAAGGCCCCACCCAGGGTCCACGCCCCTCTCAAGCCCCGCCCCATGGAGCCACGCCCCTCTCAAGGCCCAGCCCCCAGGCTGCACCTTGCAGTCCCACAGGGGACCACACCCTCGATCAAGGCCACGCCCCAGGAGCCACGCCCAGTCGAGGCCACGCCCCCAGGAGCCACGCCCCTCTCAAGCCCCGCCCCCAGGCTGCACCTTGCAGTCCCACAGGCCTTACCTTGTGCGTGAGCGAGTGCTGCTTGAGGTGGTGCGGCTGCACGAACTCCATGCCGCACTCGGAGCAGATGTAGGGCCGGATGTCCTTGTGCTTCATCATGTGGTTCTGCAGCTGGCTCGGGTACTGGAAGGTCTTGTCGCACTCGGAACAGCTGTACTGGATGGGGCCGCGGTGCGTGGTGAGGTGGCGCTTCAGCTGGGCCAAGGTGGGGAAGTCGAGGCCGCACTCCACGCAGATGTTCTCGCGCCCGCTGGCGTGTTTGGCCTCGTGGGCCTTGAGCTCGCTGGGGTAGGCGAAGCCGCGGCCGCACACGCGGCAGTTGTGCGGCTTCACCTCGCTGTGCTGCATCATGTGGCGCTTGAGGTGGCTGGTCTGGGTGAAGGCCTTGTGGCACACCTGGCACTTGTGGGGCCGCGTGCCCTGGTGCGTGAGCATGTGCGTGTGCAGGTGGCTGAGCTGCTTGAAGAGCTTGCCGCAGCGGGTGCATGCGTGCGGCTTGATGCCGCTGTGGCCCAGGATGTGGGTCACCAGGTTGTACTTGGAGGTGTAGGACTTCTCGCAGGTGGGGCACTGCCAGCGCTTCTGCGCCCCACCCACGTCCACGTAGTAGCTCTCGTCCACTTGCACGTTCACGTCCACCCGCTCCACCTTCTGCTTGGTCTCTTCGCCCTCCGGGGGATCAGCCTTGCGTGGCCCCAGCGGCTCCGGGGACTGCTTGGGCAGGAAGGCGTGCCTGCCGAAGGGGAAAGGCGACGAGGAGGGCACGAAGAAGGGGAACATGAGGCCCGGGTGCACCTTGGGGTAGTAAGGGTAGGGTGCGGGCAGGAAGGCGGGAGGTGCGGGCTGGGGCCACACGGCGCTGGGCTTGATGGGTTCTTGTCTGACGGACTTGCCGCCCAGGTGCTCCAAGGTGCGGTAAAACTGGAAGCCCACGTTGCACAGGTCGATCATCTGGGAGTCGTACTTGGGGCGTGGGGGCTGCGGGAAGAGCAGCGGGAGGCTGGGAGGGCCTTGGCCTTGGCCCTCGTCCGAGCGCAGGGCCGCGGAGGCCTCCTGGGTAGGATGCGGGTAGGGCATCTTGGTGGGCATGCTCTTGCGTTTCCGAGACCCGCCTCCTTCGAAGACCTCGGGAAAGCCGTCCAGGTCCCCTGGAGAAGGCTCATACCGAAACTGGGAGAAGGGTCCCCGCAGCGCCTCGGGGAAGGGCGGGTGTTTCTCAGGAGTTTTCCCTGCAGAAACTGCTGCCTGCAGGCAGTGAGGAAAGGAGGGGGGCCTCTTGGTGCCCAGGTTGAAGTGCACGGCCTCGGCTTTGATGGTCTTCACTTCCTTCTGCATGCTTAGCGGCTTTCCCTTTGAAGAGAGAAAGAGACCTGTTAGGGTCTGGGCTCCTGGTCAGTGCCTGTTGAGGGCGAGCAGCACTTGCTTGGTCCCAACCCTGCTCTGGCCTAGCCCTGCTCAGGATTCCTCTCTACTGTCTCCTGGCACACCCAGTGACTGCGGTGGAGGGACAGGACAACAGGCCAGAGTTGAGCGAGGCTGAGGGCACAGGGCAGACACCTGAGAACCCGTCTGGCCGCTGTCCCATTTAAGGCTCAAGAAGCCAAGGTCCACAAACGGAATGGCAGGCTCAAGTCTCTGAGCTGCCGCTCAGGGCAGGAGCCAGAATTGACATACACGCCTGCTCTGCCTCCTGCCTGAGAGGCCGTTCTGTCTTTCAAGAAATGGTTTCCGTGGGTCTGCGGACTCATTGTCTACAGGAAAACGAGTTCTCACTGCGACTGCCTTCTCTCTTTTGTGGCCTGAGCGGACGACATGCCCTGCTGGACTCCCACCTGCTCGTCTTTGAGCATTCACTCTGGCCAGGTGTGCCGTTCGGATGCACTGAGCAGACAGGTGCACGCCGACAGCAAGCATTTGTGGGCCTCTCCATGTGACACAGTCACCCTGGCAACCTCTACATTCTAGTCTTCAGCCTGAAGCCAACTTCCGGGATGTGGGGGAGATTCCCAGATCTCAACCTCCAGGACGATACCTCTCTGGGGATTACCATGAATGACAATCTCTGGTGATGTTGCTACTGGTGCCATTGCGCGTGTGGGAAGGAGCCTGGGGTGAGGGGGCGGTGGCTGAGCCATAAGCCCAGTTTCAGGCTGATTCCACATTTCCAGTGAGGGTCTTTCCTACCCACGCCCTCTAAGTTCGAGTGGGATTGGGCCTGTTTGCTCATCAGAGGTATATGGAGTTACAGCAGGTGGTAGATCCCGCCCACGAATTTGTTGCAGCCCTAAAAATAAGTGGCTTTTAGGCACAGCTCAGTACATCCTATGGAATTGGAGGTAAAAATAGCCAATCTCTTCTATGTAATTTCATTTTCGCCACAGTTGGTTTTACAGCCCCTTTGGAGATAACTTCCTTTTTGAAAAATGGCTCCTGGGACAGTAAAAAAAAACCCATTCAAGCTATAAATGCCTTTGGCAAACAACAGCAGAGCCCATACAAAGCAAACTGATTCTCTCTGCTTTATGCTGATTTAATTAAAAAGGCAATCGTTCCTGATTTATATTGGAGGGCTAGTTTTGGGATATAATGAAAAAGTGACACATCAGAACACCGGCCAGAGCTTACTAACCTTTTTCTGTATTCCACTGTTAGGAAGGTACTTGAAGGAGCCTGGAATTGGGGCACAGTGGGTGAATGTGCCGCTGGTGCCACCAGCATCCCAAGTCAGGGTGCATGTTCAAGTCCCACTGCCCCACTGCCCGTTCAGGTCCCTACTAGCGTGTCTGGGAAAGTAGCAGCAGATGTCCGAAGGACTTGGCCTCTTGCTGTCCACAAGAGAGACTCAGATGAACTAACTTCCTAGCTCGTGGATTCAGCCTGACGCTGTTAGGGCTGATGCGGCCACTTGGGAAGTGAATCAGCAAACGGAAGGCCTCTCTTCTCTCTCTCTCTCTCTCTCTTTCTCTTCTTCTCTCCCTGTCTGTCATCATGCCTGTCCAATCAATCTTCTTTAAAAGGTGCCTGAAAATGCACGGTTAACAATATGTATTATCTATATCAGTCCCGTATTTTATCCAGGAAAATTACTACTTGAAAAGAAAAGCTATGGCTAGTTCTAAAACTGAAGATGTTGTATTTACTCACATTGTTATAGCCCGTACTCAGTGTTTTTGGTTTTAGCTTTGATATAATCAGCTCATTGATTCAATTTGATGTTTTGGGAAGCATGTTCCTTATGTGCTGCTGATGTCAGCACTTGCGTTTTGCTGAGTCAAGCAAAGGAGCTGTTGAATGGGGATAATGTGGGTTTCAGTCCCAAGTGGCACAATCATGTCGCCAAAGGCAGAGGTTACTTACATAGGTTGTAGTTTCTTTCCTACTTTGAAAGCACGGTGTTCTCCTCTTTCTCTCCTCTGTATGTGATGATCTGTCCTTTCCCAAAATAGTAGTCCAAGTGCCCTCAGACGAGGCCAGTAACCCAAGGGTTTATATACACATTGAAATCTATCCCTGGACATTTGTCCAGACCTTGAAGACTCCCCTTCCACGTGAAGTCTTAGGGAGCCTGGCCAACCCTCACAGACATCCAAGGGGGACCAGGTCAGTTATCAATGCCCCTGTCTAGGAGAACCGGGTGACAAGGAGAGGCTAGGGGGTACAGAATGCAACACAGCCTACATGGACATGGGCAGAGCCTGGACTGGGCATCTTGCTCAGGAGGTCTTTGAAATCAACACAGTTAGAACTTCGGCTGTCCTCGGCAGACACACAGATCAACTCCTAGAAGACCTCAATGTGTGCCATGCATGCACTGCCCTCTGTTTGTAAAAATGGAAGCCCAGACATCCACAGCCCCTATGGGGTCTCCACACGGGAGGCAGGGGGAGACTGGGGACAGCAACAGAGTTGGGCAAGCCACATCTGGAGGAGATGAGACCTGCAGGTTAAGAAGGGGAGTAGCTATCAACCTTCCTCTGAGTTGGTCCAGAACCCTTGGCAAAAAATAACAGGTTGTGTGATAGCTCCCTACTAGGCCCATGGCGCCAAAGCCATGTGCAAAGAGAAAGAGCTGGATTTTTAGAAGTAGAGAATTATGCGAGAATGTAAGGAACATTGGTTTAGAGTCCGAGAATGGGTTTGATTTTTGGCCTTTTTTTTTCTTTTGCTAACAGCGGTGGAGATTGAGTGAATTAATTTTGAGGTCTGATTTTCTCACCTGTGAAAAAGGAGTGAGGATATCCCATTAGGCTGACCGGAGACTTAACACTGAGTGTGTATGAGAAATTAAACCCAACACAAGTCGGTGTGGTGTTTGAGGGGGAAGGAAGAGTGGCCAGGAGAGGAGGGGTGCAGTTGTGAGCAATGGGTTCATGTCACTCGAAGCGATCTGTTTGTAACACTGAGGCCCTTGTTCATCTCTGGCATCTGTTCTTTGGCTTTGCGTGTTCAGAATCAAGGCTTCACTCTGAGTGGGCAAGGCTGGAATGAGTTTGTTCATGCTGTGTGGAGGTAAGTTGAAGAATCCTCCCTGCTCCCTTCTCCAAGCACTGCTTCCCTCAAGCCTGAGTTAGTCATAGACTGCTTCGGTAACAGGGGAGTTGGAGCAAAGGGAATCAGCCAGTCTCGTGAGGAGCTCCTGCAGCCAGTGTTTGAGACGGTGAAGAATCGCTCCTAACATAACAGCAAAGGGCACCTCCCTAGGGATCTGTTGCTGCAGCCTGAGTCCTAGGCACTGCTGTGTACTATGATGCATCAGAGCTGGCAAGCCAGTGCCTGCCATACTTGCCGCATGGTGAGGACAGAAATTGGGGTCTCCTTAACCCACTGTGGCATCTCCAGCCCCCAGCAGGGTGCTTGGTTCCAAGTAAACTCAGTAACAGTAAACTTCTTTGGGATGCAAGAATGGTTCTTGTGGTGGAAGTTTCTACAGGAAAGTTCAAGATACATACTTTCATCTGATATAGTTTACACCGTGAGTGGTATGCGCATCTACTTCACTAATAACTCAAGCCTACACCTTGTGTGAGCTGTGGTTCTTTAATTTCCAAGGCCCTGCTCTCTGAAGTGGCTCTGATTCCAGTAAAGCCCTGGATCCTGGCTACATTAATGCTGGGGAACCACTCTCCAAGTGCCACAAGTTTCTGCCACTCCCAGCAAACAGATTCCTAAAAAGTCCAGAGGGCAGGTGGCTATAGAGAGAAAGGCTTCTGGCTTGGAGGGGAAAATGTAGGCTGAGGGTGCGTTTCTCTGCTCAAGGGAAACCAGCAGGTGCCCAACCCCAGCAGAGGCAGCACTAAGGGGGAGCAGGGGTGAAGACTTTAGAATCATCACACACACTGTCACTGCTGGTGTCAGAGAAAGTTCTAAGGTTTGACTTTCTCTGATGTGCAAAGACAATAGGCAATGAATCAGGAAACAATCAGGTTGATCCTTGCCCTGGAGCCCTGTTCTCCACAGAGGTGAAAGATAAAGGAGATTAAGAGAGAGACAGCCTGGGGCGAGGTGACCAAGTGCTCATCCCTCTCAGATCACACCCAAGGCGCTGTCCTGATGCTCCTCCCGGGGGAGCGAGCATTTTGGTGTAGCAGGTTAAGTTATCATCACCTCTTACCAGAGTACTTGCTTAACTCCTGGCTACTCCACTTCCAATTCAACTCCCTTGCTCCTGTGCCTGGGAAGAGAGCCAACTATGACCTAAGTACTTGGGCTCCTGCTGCCAGTGTGAGGCATCTTGATGGAGCTCCTGGCTCCTGACCTTGCTCTCAATGGGTAGAGAATCTATCCCTCTCAAATAAATAAATAAATATTTTATTAAGTAAATAAGGTCAACTTTACTTTTTGAGTCATTTAAATGATCTCTAATGAGCATGCAAATATAAGCCATACAAGTATAAATATATATGTAATTTTTTTAAGGAGCTCATACAAAAAAAAAAAAAAGCCAGCAGCAACAAATTCAACTTTTAAGTTGCATAATTTAAAAAGGAAGCTTACTCCATTTAGACATGATAGGTTTTTCTTTTTAGTGCTAACTGACTAGGGCCAGTTTCTGCAAGGTAGAAATGTGTGTAGTGACTTGGGTGCTGGCACAGCTGCTAATGTGGAGGGGTTATCTTATCCACATGACCCAGTTAAAGGAAGGAAATGAACTGGAGATATGACTTAACAGTCCTCGTCCCCACACCCTCAGAGCTGGTATGTCCCTCGTGGATGAAGCCCATATTGGAATGTTAGAAATTGTCTCCAGTTTTCTTAGGGGGAAATGTCATGAACATGTAGTTTGTCTTTACGTTTTGTGTTCCAGAAGCAAATTAACCCGATGGATGCATTGCTAACTTAGCAGC